AGCCAGTAGTGGTCAGAATGAAGTTAAAATGTAGAACATCTTCTTGGTATCCACTAAGAATTAGAGAATTAGTTGGAATGGGTTATTTTTTTTTTTTTTTTTTTGCTAGACGTGTTTTGAATACAGAAAAAGACAGGATTTTTCTTTTAGAGTTGTAAATGATTTTTATATTGGAAGAATCTAGGACAATATTAGCCATGTGACTTTTTGTACTGATTAAATGTTTGTGAAATATTTAGCTCAGCATCTGCCACATATTTAGAGCACATATTGTTAAATTCAGTTAATTTCCAAAGACTGAATATATCATTTCATACACACATTTGCTAGGAATCTATCATTTCATACACACATTCATTAATGACATTGGCTTATTTTATGTGGCTTTTTCCAGGAAGAGTTCTAAATCTTTTTACTGACATGAATAGAAAAACTGCTTAAAAATAAATACCATCAAGTCTGCTTACTAGAATTTGAGCATGTAACAATAAATGTGTATTTCTTTTGCATTAAGAGCCTGCTATGCACCAGCCACAACAAGGAGGAAGAGTCAGCACTGCCTCTTTCTGAACACTGGAAAAAAGTATATGTATGTTTGTATGATATAAATGTATATGTGTGGGTGATACACAGAAAGGTACATATGTGCATGTATGTATACAACAAAACCTTGGATTGTAACTCATTCTGTGAGTGTTGTGTAAGACAAGCAAACATTTCTAATAAATTTGAACTTGATAAAAGTCTTGCAATACAAGTAGTATATGATGCTGAATGCCACATGATCACAAGTCAGCCAAAGGTTCTCTCCCTTTCCTTTGCTCCCTCACTTACTGTGGGATTGCAGGTGATCATCTCCCACTAGCAAGAAGTTATGGAGGAGATCTCATTTGCATATTAGAAAGAGAAAAAGTCAGAGGAACCCCTCACTTCAAGTGTTTGGAGAAATGTGTATAATATGGGAAATGATGCAAAATTTTAATAGAAAAGCACCACCCAAACAAGGCTGTAGCAGTGGAAGGATGAATCTGTTTAATGACAACACAGTGTCACATTTCCACAAAATCCTCTAAAGGAGGCAAAACCAAGTGTCATTGGCTAGGTTCCTTGTTAAAGCTGCACAAAAAGAAAAACATTACATTGAGCCAACAGGTAGCAGTCATTCTGTTAGTGACAGTGAAAGTCATCCTACATAATAACCCTCCTCATTTTCTTTTCCCTCATACCAGCTATGAAGATTTTCAGAGGTTAAGTGCAGGGTTTTAAAAAATATAGTACTGTAACCATTTTTATATGAATATTTTTGGGTTGTGGAACAAATCATCTGAGTTTCTATCATTTCTTATGGGGAAATTCACTTTCATATACAAGCACTTTGGATTACAAGCATGTTTCTGGAATGAATTATGCTCACACACTAAGGTTTTGCTGTATATTCTTTTTCATGAAGAAAAAGAAAGGTGATTAAACAACCAAGGAATGGCAAACAACATTATTTTTGAAATAATTTTTCTAGAATCATGGAATATTGGTATCTTCATAGTTATATTTTATTCCATCCTTTCATAATGTTAATTTTTTGGTACGTTAATGAGAACAGCTTACATTTTCCCAGGAACAGAGCATGTCATGGGAAGAATGATGGCATGATGGCCTCCCACCCATGTCTCCATCCTCATCACTGCAATCTGTGAATATGTTACATATACAGCAAGAGGGGCTTTATGACTGACTCAGGGTTGTGCTGGCAGGCCAGGACTACCACACAGGTCCTTATAAAATAGATAAATCCGACAAAAGAGTCAGAGACATGGAGCAAAAGGAGAAGCAAGAGAGACTCAGAGAGTAACAACCACTGTTGCTGGTTTTGAAGACGGTGGTGGCCACAAGTCAGGGAATATGAGTGGCTTCAAAGAGCTAGGCATGGTACTCCCATCCCATGCTCCAGAAACAGACAAAAAGATATGAGACCTTAGTCTTATAACTGCAGGAAAAAGAATTTTACCAACAACCTGACTGAGCCTGCTCTGGCTCCCCCTCCAGAGCCCAGCCCTGCTCACACTTTGATTCTTGGCTTTGATGCAGAGAAACAAGCTGAGCCCACCAGACTTCTGACCTACCCAACTGTCAGATAATACAATCATGTAATTTAAGCCATAGACTTTGGTGTAATTTGTTACAGTGGGCCCAGAAAACTAATAAAGAACATAACAGTAAATAAATGATGTAACCTGATTTGTGGTTTTTCCCTAGTACTGGTGACTGAATGCAGGGCCTATTCATTGGGCTGTAGTCCAGCTCTTTCATTGTTTTTTAGAGCTAGATCAAGCTAAGTTGCTTAGGCTGGCCTTGAACTTATGATCCTCCTTTCTATATATCATAGGGTACTAGGACCAAGATATTTCATCATACCTGGGAATCAAGTCCATGACAGTGCTGCACAGACAGTTCCTTCCTTGTTTAATAAGATAGTTTTCTTCCCCAGATCTACCTTACCTAACCCAGGGCTTCTCAAATCGTATACTGCACCAACCACCTGGGGACACTGGAAAAATGGAGATTCTGTTTCAGTGGGGCCAGGTGAGCCCTGAAAGCTTACATTTCCAACAAGGTCTCTCCTGAAATGATGGACCACAAGCATACTCAGAGTAGCAAGGATAGATAGGTCTATGTTCCCTGGGGGCAGAGCAGATAAGTTCTTCCATTATGTCACTTCTGCCACTCTCTACCCACTTCACCAAACTGTCACCAAGCTTTTCAGGACAGATTCACCTGTCTTATTGCAGACCTATTCCTGAAGGGTCTGATATTTAACAGGTGCTCAATAAATATCTGTAAATTGGATAAGTGTATTAATATTTATTCAGGGCTTCTATAAAACAAAAAAAATAATATAAAGGGAAATCAAATTGCCAAAAGATGCAATCATAAGACAAAAAGCTTGAGGAATAAGGGGTCAGAAAGAAATAATTTGGGGAAAGTCACTTCAGCAGCTAAAGTTAAAAGATTTAGGTGACCAGGTATCTGATTTTAGTCAGAGGAGCCAGAAATAAATGAATGCAACTTGTTCACCAAGTCCTATGTCAATGCAACTATAAACAGCTAACTTTCTACGTATTTCACTATATACATGCATGTACTTATATATATATATATATATATATATATATATATATATACTCACACAGAAATTGTTTCATTTTCTCCACATCCCAGTAATACCTAGCTTGCACACTGGTCCTACTCATACAGTAAATCCAAGATCACTTCAGATCCATGCTTTTAGTCACTCCAAGCGACCTCATCAATGAACACTCTTCTGGAAACTTGGGCTTCCAGAAGAGGAAGTGAATGATGTGTCTGCATATCCAGCCAACAGAAATCTCAGCTGTGCCTGATTTGGCATGGGCAGTCCCCCTTGAATGGGATAATAAGCCAACCCCCCAGTCTAGGCAGCTTGTTTCCAGCTGGGCTTGTTTTTGTTTTGGTTGCAAAGTCACTAAAACCTCTAGAGAAACAAAGCAATGCGTTTTTAGTCTTGTTTTGTTCTAATGAGTCAAACTTGCCAGGAACACAAAGCTGAATTCTGCCCACAATATTCTTATGCTTCCCTTACACAGAGTCAAAAGTTTCAGCTAATCATTCCTTTCTTTCTCCCACATGAGGTAATGACTTTAGCTCTGTAGCCATGACACTGTTTACAACCTTGGGCTTCTAGAGTAAGGGGAAATTGCCCTTGAATGTTCTGTCAAGAAATGTTCTGTCAAATATCACTATCTTTATTTGTTGTTTTAAGGAGGGTCATTTAGAAAAGGAAGTCAGGAGAACAGCTTTCCTACTTAAGACAAACATCTGGACTTTGCCTACCTCTTTTTTCAGTTTTGTGACAAAACAAAGCACATGATCTGGATCCATTTCAGGAGAAACTGCAAGAACCCAGGGTTTCACCCAAAACTGAGAAGGCCATTTATTTATGTGTTCCTGTTTCTAATGACTGCTGGAGCAGTCATGAGTGGCTCACTGGAATGAGAAGATCAGGCTAGGAAGATTTTGAGAAACAAGATCCTTTTGCACAAGAGCATGAATCATTTTCGAGAGGGTATCCTGGGGAAGCAGGACTGAAGTTCGCCTGCTTTCCTACCCTGACACCAAACTGACTGCTTTCAAAAGTTTAGAAGAACTGATTCTGAGAGCCAATGTTTATGACTGTATGTGGTTTAAAATGAGGTCAGAGACAGCTGTGACACCAGCTCTAGGTTAGCAAATGGGGTGCCATCAGGAGTGTAGCAAAAGTTGCTCCCAGCCCACTGACAATGCCAAATATGCAGTGCTCCTGGCCTTTAATGTGTTGGCTCCTAGATTGTCCAGGAGCCAATTGGCACACTGAGCTACTTGAACAGGCATGTTAAGATTGCCTCACCTCACATGAGGATGGGGACTATTTTAGATGTCACCAAAAGGACTAAATATCAGAACTTTTAGCACTGAAGACCTTTTGTTTCTGAAGTTATTCCTATGGAGATGTGACAGCAAGCATACTACTCAGTCTAATTCAAGCTTGGTGTTTTTCCAGTGTCTAGATCTTAAAAAATATATAGTACATCCTGCAGCATAAAATCAACCAAGTCATTTCACTTATTTCCCTTTAGGTGTGCCTGAATGCAAAGGTAGGAGCAACAGGGAACAGCTGAAGGGCTGGGGATGTTGTGACTGATCAAGATGATGAAATATTTCCAAGTCCTGACTATCCAACTGCTCCTGAGCTGTTTCACTTACAAAATAAATCAGTTTCTAATTCTCTTATCTTAGATGACTCATGTTAGTCTTCACCCTTCAGCTCTAATCTGTAAAACAGAGATAACAGTACTTGCCCCAAAAGGGTACTATCAAGATGTCAACTAGGGAGTTCAGGTAAAATGCCTGGCATATAGTGAACTGCACACTAAATGTAAGCTACTTTTACATATCTTCCCTAGGAAGATGCATTTCTTGTGACTTACCCCTTGTAAAACTTGAAAGCTGTCGTTGTTAGGTGGTGGGTCTTGATCTGGGTCAACACCAACTCTAAAAGTCACCAAGGAGGAAGACAAAGAAAAGAACAGTAAGTATTAGTTCTGTCCATGGAAATCATGTAGGGTGAAGTCAACAACCATATTCCCAAAGCCGAAGGAGTGGTTAGCTACAGAGAGAAAAACTGTCATGCAGAGGTCAGGTCACATACCACATCAGATTCCAGAGAGTCGGGAAAATAAATCCTGTGTGCTTATGTTGTAAGAAAGGCCTCTAGAAACAGCATAGCCTCTGGAAAAAGCACATGCTGCCCACTGTCTAGCTGCTTCCCATGCCAGGTGGTCCCCCTTATCAAAATGTTGCCAACCCATCGTGCTCTGATGTTCCTAACATTCTGTTATGAAATTCTTCAATTACTAAAGGAAAGTGTTAAAGGACTTTATAGTGAACACCTGTATGCTCACAAACACAAGATCCTACCATTAAAATTTACTGCAGTTTATGGCCTATCCATTTCTCTCTCCATCCTCAATCTTACTTTTTTGCATGCATTCAAATAAAGCAGCAGACATCAATACACTTTTCCCTGTTGCTTCCATACGCACTGTGGCAGTCTCTCCTTTTCCCAACCTGAGCCACGCTCTTTCAAATTCTCTTCCCAACTAGGCCCTGACTTTTGGGCTTCTGGGTTTTACTCTGTATTACCTAATTTTAGCGAAGAATCCTGCTAAGTCAGTTTAGTGAGAACTTAACCCTTATCTGATTTCCATCCCATCATCCCCTACTATCCACCAGGTGAGGTCTGATCACCCTCCGTTGCCTTCTGGCAAGAATCCTAGTAGGTCAGTTTGGACAGAATCCTCCTTACCCTGATGTTTCCTCTTTATAACTTTCCACCCATGGAACCTTATCTTCTCCTTGCACTGCAAAACTCCATCATAGTAGTTCCTATACCAGCAGTCATGATCCTGAAAATAAAGTCTACTTTGCCCTTTTAGCAAGTGGCAGAGTAATGTTTTCTTTAAGCAGTATCATTAACTTGAGTCTTGATTTGCTTTAATTCTGATACTTTTACATCTTCCCACATCAAAGATGACTCAAAAAGTCACAAATTTGAGAGCAACTAAAGATGGAAAGAAAAAGCAAAGTGACAATATCAACTTATAACAAATTCCAGAAAAGCAATGGAGCTGCTGTCTTGGTTTAGTCACATACCAACTGTTGCTCTATGCATTTGTTAATTTTCTATCCCTGTACCTTCCTCATTCTGAGGTAGAAAACTGTGACATGGATGATGTAGACAACAAATACCAACAGCGGGGGTGACAAAGACATCAGGAAAATCGTCTATCTTCTTGCACTTGATCCAGGGTCAAGTGTCACCAAGAATGGATAGGGTCAAAAAGGTCAACCAAGGACCCAACTGTTAGCAGATTAGGTGGAATCTGTGCTTGAAGAGAGGTACCAAGGTGATTTTGCAGAGGTGTTTTTGCTGTCTGCTATCAGGACAATGTCTCTACTGGGCAGATGATGAATGAAGGCAGAAGCCCCAAATCCCCTCCCTTACTCTTCTCTTCCTCCTTTCTCCTACCTGTGATACCCAGGATCTTTCCTAGGGGAAAAAGAAACTACATGTAAATGGGAGTGGCTCAGAGACAGGACAGATGTACCCAGCCTCTCAATGCCAGTCTCTGGCCTTTCTCATTGCGGGCTTGCAGAGCACTCACTCAAGATGTGTGCCCTGCAAAAGGAGACAAAAAACGAAATGTCTCATATTATTCTGAAGGCAAAGTTTAGAACTACAAAGTGAATTTACAGAGACTCTAATTTGCTAGGCACTGTTATGAACTCCTGGTTAAAGCTTGAAGTGGGCCTAGTGCCAGATTTCCTTGCCAGGGTTTGGACAGAACCTTTGGGTTGAATTAGATGGACTTTATATATTCTAGAGGCTACTTCTAAGCAGTGGTTTTTGAGGGCTGGGGATTTTTCCTTGGCCACAGGACATTCTCTAGGCATGTTTGAACAACAAATATCACATAGACCTTTGGCATGAAAATCATGCAGTTGAGGAGTCCAAGGGATGCCCACAAAAGTCAGGCCAGAGCCCTAGTACATACAAAATGTATAATGAAATGAGCTATAGGAGAGGTTGCACTGTGTTTGTAGATGTTGATACTTACTCACCTGTTTTTAGAGTCTCTTAATGTACATTCCATAGAAAACAATCATTTATATGGTGTCTGTGTCTGAATGTGTAAGGTCAACAGCTAAGAATCCAACATGAGGCCTCATTTGGTGGATTATATAGCAGTAGTACAAAGCCACTTCATGTCAGACTTTTCCTTAAGATGCGCTCCAAGTTGCAGACTCAGAGAGCAGAGTGCTGGTAACTCTAGAGTCTCTTAACCTGCCTGTAAACCAGGTGTCATGGCTGCCCTCAGCCTAAACACAAAGAGGCTGCTGGTGGGAGGAATAATGTGCAAGATAGCCAAAAATACAGCAGTTCAGATCTGTCACTAATAATCTCTCTACTCAGCATTGTGGATTTTGAAAGATTTATGACTTTTGTTATAAAGTTATAACAGCTGACCTTATCAGCCCAGATGAAATAGGAGGCCTATGGACAGGGGAAAAGAATGTGTGTCCTGTGCTATAATGAAGAACATAAACTCAAATACTACTACATTTGGCCTCTAGTGAAATCTAGCCTCTTCTATTCTCTTAATTTCTATAAGGAAAATAAAATCTGCTTAATAAGAATTGAAATAAATTCTGTTTAGCAAAAATAACTTATAAAAATGAAGCTCAGACCACTTTCACTCAAGTCCTGAAGATGTCAGTAGAACTCATGTGTTCATCCTGGCCAGGCCAGAATTCCAAACAATGCCCACAACATTGCAATAACTTGGCAAAATCATGAAATTATGGCCACTCTAATCTCATCCAGAACCTATAAGAGTTGCCATTTTATTCTGGGGAGGGGGATAGAGTAGTTCTAGATCAGTGCTGCCCAGTAGAACTTCTAGCAAAACAGCAAGGTTCTTTACTACAGTGTCCAATATGGTAACTACTATATAGTTACCATAGTCACTGAGCACTTGCAATGCAGCTGGTATGGCTGAGGAACTGCATTCTACATTTTAATTTTAATTAATTAAAATTTAAATAGTTACATGTGGTGAGCCATTCCTGAACTACACAGGGTAGGTTCTAGAACGTACTAATTCCAGCCATGTCCCTATACTCTCACTTGTTTCCCCATTAACAAAGCAACAACTATCTGCTCTCTGCTTTCTCAATGATAACACCCAAATTCCTGCTGGTATCCTGCAAAGATACAACTCCAAATATCATAAATATTAAATTAAAACTCTGCTTGAACCTATTACTTAGTGAATGAAGAGATTATTTACTTTATTGGTATATAAAATGAATTCTAAAATCCTCTATAGAGAGAACATCATCTTATAAAAGTGAAAGTAATGGTAAAATCAGAAAACTGCCATTTCTGCCTCCAGGGTAGTCGCCATTTCAAGCAAGGATCATTAGTGAATGACTTTACCACTGAATAAAAGATTATTGGGAACTTGGCCATTTGAGTAATGTCAAAAGATCATTTTACAGAATACCTTTTAGTTATAAAAAGAAAATTGTACCTTGACCATACAGAGACTTAATGTCATTACCTTAACTAAGTGATCAAATGCAGTATCATTAAGGGGCAGTCTGACACCATGCCTCATATCACAGGATACAACAAGGAATAAGTATGTAAAACCAGTTCTAAAGGATTTTCGACAGAAATGATTATCTATCTTTAGCCATGATGAAAGCATCAGAAAAATCCAGACTATGGGACATTCTATGCATAAATATTCTGAATACTTTATAACTGACCCCCCAAATTCTGAAAACTTTATAAGTGACCCCCAAAAAGGGTGGTGGTTCTGGATTAAATGACACTAAACAGATGTGACAATCAAATTTTCATTAGATCCAGGACATGTGTGTGTGTGTGTGTGTGTGTGTGTGTGTGTGTGTGTCGTGTATATGTGTGTGTCTGTAAAATCAGATAGCTATTCTCAGATGCATTATCATGTAGGAGACAGGATTCCTAGAAGATGTAGGCAAAAATATTTATGGGTGGAAAGTCTGCAATATGCAAGTATTTTGAAACAGCTTAAAGTGAGAAAGAGAGAAGGCAAAAAACCACCCCCCAAATTAACAAATACTAACAAGTGATGAATTTAGGTTACTACTTGTGTATTCCTTGTTCTATGCTTCCCTCCACCCACTTTTTTCAGACCTAACAGTTTTAACAGTTTAAAAGAAGGATACTTAATTATACCCTTAGTAAAAATGTGTTAAGAACATTACTGTATACTTCTTTAATCTCTCTACTTTAATCTACTAATATTGATGATTTGTGAGTTTATATTATTCTAGGTCTTTACCACAAATTGTAAAGATTCATGAATACAAGATGCTATAAGTAATATTGGTCTTATGTGAATATATATTCTAGTAATTGTGTGGTCTTCTTTTCCAGTTAAATAAATTCTGGAATGTTTGTGGAGATACTTTCTCCTAAAAGTGAGAAGCAAGGAAAACAATGTTTGGTACTGGGACATGGTTAAGCAAATAAAACCATTTTCAGATCTGGTTGTGTATATCCCCCAGAAACCTGTAGTTCTAAGGACAGTCTTACCTGATGCTCCATTTTCTTGCTTTTATCATCATTCTGCCATGGAAATTCCAATTTTCATAGTAGCTACTTGCTATCAGTCAACTATCTGACATACAACCCAAACTCTTGACAGCACAGAGACTGAAAGGATTGCTTGGGCCCTCCCAAACACAGAGGAATGGGGGAAGACCCCCTTGGTCTTTTGGAGGTCCCTGCTACTAGTACTTAACAGGAATAGTTCAAGAAAAGACAGACCTGTTTCCCTAATTGCTACTACTTTTTAAATGGCCAAAAGAAAACAGAACAGGGGCCACAAGACACAATGATGTTTTTCTGCAGCATGTTTTCTTATCAAGGCTGTTTACTTTCAGGTGATTTAATGATTACCTTACTGACAGGCTTGAACCTTGGACCAATCCCCAAGGATGACATAGGATTCTGGGGCTCCTACTAAAGGCCTCACCCTTGGGGCAGAGCCAAGAACCAAACCATTTCTGAGAATAGAAAGTAAAACAACAGTCTAGGGTACATGGTGTGGTGCTAGGCAACAAGAAAGATCAGCTATATGATTTTAATTGCAGATTTCAAGTCAGGCAGCTATCCATAATTTATATCTCTCTCCTGACCTGCTACAATGCTTTAGATCCAGGACACTGTATACATAGCTTTGTGGGCTGCTTTAATATATCATATTAGCATTCCCCTAATTCACCTTGGCTGAACTTGGTGGAGCACATGCAACACTCTTTTCTTCCAGAATGAACTGATTATTTGTATTTTCATTAAGCATGAGACAAATGTGGAAATCCCACACCAAATGACAGCATAAAGTGATCAAACCAATATGGTCATTCTAGAACGAATAAATATCAAATCTGATAGTTTTCTAATAATTTACCAGTTCTGATTAACATATAAGACACTATGGAATTTCAAGAATCTTAGAATTATTCTACTTTAACCAGTAATTTTTTGAGGAAAGTGGTGCTCAAGATTGAACACAGGGTTGCATGCATGCCAAATATACATTCTACCACTGAGCTATACTCCCTAACCAATGATAATATTTAAAATCTGAATAGTGAAGGCTTTAATATGAAAAATGAGACAAATACCTCCATGTAAAACCTTGAACAGCAAATCATACTCTGAATTCTCTCATGTCCTATGTCCCAAGTGTAATAACTTACACTTGCCTGGAGGATCTTCTTTCTTGTAGGGTGCTTCAAATGTGAGGGGTTCCCCTGCAGTTTATCTGGTATCTAAATTCAAAAATCTAGTCTAGTCTATCGAGTCTAGTCTAGTCTAGTCTAATCTAGAGTCAAAAATGAACTCTGTGTGCATATGTATATGTGTGTGTGCAATTGAACAGTATAAAAAAGAGTGAAACCAGTGAGTTTAAATACATAAATCAATTTCAAGTGTGACACCAGAGTGTACACATGAGCTATAATGTACACACACATGTACCTACACACGTGAACTAAGACTCATGACTCTGGTATCACTGCTTTCACCACTGCCATCAGGGAGAGATTTTTCACAATTCTAAGACAAAGTTCAAGCCTATTTGTTATCTACCAAGAAAACAGATAAAAATAAGCATGAAATTAGAGATCTTTAAAGGAAAGAAGAAACATTTTTACTCAGTTTGCTTCTATCTCATCCTTAAGCAATCATATAATGAACCCTGGTGCACACTGAGAAACCAGTTACATTAGAGAAATCTTTATTCTTTTGTTAAAAAGTTCTTCACATCGTCTGAGTCACCATAAGAAAGTATAAATATACAAATAACATACTTTCAAAAACCACAACAGCACTGGTATTTAATAAAGATGGTATATAATTCATGACCCACTCAGCTGAAATTCGAAATTCTAGCTTTCTGGATGAGTTACAAGCCTTGCTTACTAGATCATAAGCCGGATTTTGTGGGAAAGTATTAGTGGCTTTGAAAATAAGTTGCTCCTAACACTCAGCTCAGTTGTACTAGAAGGAGACACTTGCCAACTTAAGTCTTTGGTGTTAGCAACACATTGCCAAAAATATGGGGAAGGAACAGAATCCAAGGAAAACTGACACATCCATCAATCCAGAGAAACAGTGGAAAGAATGGTTAGAACTGATTTAATCTCTTGCCCCTTAGTAAAAGGGAAGTGTGATGTGCACACAGGAAGGAAGAAACAAACAACAGTAAGAGAATATTTCAGGTTAGAAAGAAGAGGAAAGCCAGGCCCAGTTAATTATTTTCTGAGGATGTCCTTGTGTCACCTGAAGTACTGCCAGCGGTGTTCATTCTGGTCCTCTTCGGAGGGCTCCTCCACGCCAACTCTGGGCAGCAGAAGAAGGTAATATGAGTGTGACAGGGAAAGGAGGAGTGCTAGGGAGCTCTGGGCATACAATCCAGACCATGTCTATGAACAGGCCACCTCATTTTGATGTAAACCCACACCACTCTTTTTCTGGTGCTGGGGATGGAACCTTGAGTTTTGCACATTCTGAGGATGCATTCTACAACTGAGCTACATATTCCTGCTAAGTGTCCCCAGTCTGTAAACTCAAAAGAGGCTGCTAAATTTAAAGCAACAATGCTAGGAGCCAGGTCCCCAAAAGCATATATAACATAACAGTAGTAGTCATCCAAAACATCATAGCACATAAATAAATATACAGCAGACTGATGTTAAAATTTCACTGGAGGAAGTAATTATGGAAGAAAATTTAAGGTACTTTACAGGGAGCAATAGTGAAAAAAAAGGTTGAGAAATATTATACTCAACAAAGCTTAAATTTTCATGCTACTTATGTCCCCTGAAATATGCAAGTACTGCAAAAACCTAGCACTTCTTAAGGTGGTACTTTTAATTAGTTACAAGTTCAGAATTTCACTTAAATTAGACTTTATTACAATAACACTGAAAAACCATAACATACCAGAAAAAAAGCCAGATTCCTTTTAAGGTTAAGATTCACAATTGTTTAAGTAATTGATATAGTGATCACAGATAATACAGCAAGCAGAATATACCAAGTGCATACCAAGTGCCAGAGGGCACATTTGATGAGACAATTTTTTGTTGGTGCTGGTGACTAAAGCCAGGGCCTAGTACCTCCTAGGCAAATGCCCTACCACTGAGTTATACCCTCCAGTCCCTAATAAGAGAATTCACCATCACATTTACTTATAATCATATTTTATCACAGTATGATTGTCTCTATTAATCAGTGAAGAAACCAAGGGTTAGAGGTGAAATAAGTTGCCCAAGGTCACAAAGGTGGGGGGCAAGATTCCAATTCAGGCTGTTGTCCCTGAAAACCACAGCTCTTCCTTTTACAGGACACTGCCTTTGAGCACAAGATAGAATCTTTAAATTCTTTAAAAATATCCAGTGCCAAATACAAGTATATAAAGAGCTCAGGTTTTTTGTCTGCCTTTACTCCTTACATTATTTTGCAAAGAGCTTTATCATAAAATCTCAGTATCATAAATTCTCCCTCTAAATAGGATTATGCCAAGCAGACTGTTTATTTGTCCCTGAATGGTTACATTGCTGTCCTCCGGGGGAAAAAGATTATCGGTACATCTGGATGTGTATCTAGCAACTGCCCCCCTGCACCATCATCATGTGTGCCCCGTGAAGCTGGAGGCTACAGAAGGATAGCCACCAAGCCACCACAGTGTGGTCAGGACATACACAAGGATTATCTGCTGAAATAATCCCACGATCATTTTGTTTAAGGTTCACAAATTATATTCTTTGTAAATAACACTTACTCAAGAAACTAAGAAAAACAAGTAGTTTTTATATTAACAGAAAAAACGGAACATTATATTTTAAAATACTAATCACAAACAAAAATATAAATTAGATTTATGAAAAGTAGTAACTAGGCTTTGGCTTTGTAGTTACATTTTTTGTTTTCGTTTTTGAGACAGACACTTGCTGTGTAGCCCAGGCTGGCCTTAAACTCACTATGTAGCCCAACCTGACCTTAAACATGCAGAGATCCTCCTGCCTCAGTCTCCTGAGTGCTAGAACTAGAGGCGTGCATCACAATACCCAGTTGTGATTATATTAATTTTTATTTTATACTCACATTTGAAATTAGCCATGGTTAAGGACCACGGCTAACTTCAAATTATGTATGGTAGAACTCCCAGACCCACCCTGGGTTTCCAGTGTCTGAGCAGCTACTTAATAGCTCATCAAGACCTTCAGGAGAAAAAGGAACAACTAGTACTGATCCTAGGGGCTAAAATACCACATGAACATCAGGGGATTTCTGAATCAATTTAAATAAGAACTTGAGTTACGGAAATGAGTCATACCCATTACGTTAGCACCACAAGTTACAAGCCAAAAAAACCAATCAGTTGTATTATCTTATTTTGGAGGGAATTTCTCTGGATGTGATCTTTGTAAATGTCAGTTGCTATACTTGAACAGTATTATTATACATACACATCTGGAAAAAACAATGAACTAACACTGTATATATTTTTCAACAATGGTACACTGCTTCATTGTTTTGTCTGGGTAAGGTTAGACATAAGGAAGGAAATAAAGACGGAAATAGAAATCAATTAAATGCAACATAGGAAAACAATACAGAAAATTAATGAAATAAACAGCTGGTTCTTGGAAAAGATCAGTAAGACTGACAAACTCCTAGCAAGACTGAAGGGGCAGGGAGGATACACAGTAGCAAAACTTATCAGAATAAAACAGTGTATCACTGTAGACACCAGAGACATCAAAAAGATAATAAAGGAGTGCTATGAACAACATAAATTTGACAATTTAGATGAAATTGACCAATTTCATAAAGTACCACCACTCTCACAGTATGAAATACATAATCTAAATAGCCTGTAACTACATAGCTTAAAAATTTCTGAAAAAGAATTCTCCCAGACTAGATGTTTTCCCTGGATAATTCGACCAAAAGGTCAAGGAAAAGAACACTAATTCTACACAATTTCTTCCAGAAAACACAAAACTAGAGAATATGTTCCAACTCATAATGTGATGTTGCATTACCTGGATACTAAAATCAGACAAAAAAAGAACTACAGACCAATATCCGTAATGAACATAGATATAATAATTAACAAAATTTTTGCTCATGAAAGTTAGCAATATGTATATCTGTATTAATAGGTTAAATAAGAAAAATCATATGATCATATCAATTGATGCAAAAAAGCATTTGAAAAAATTCAGCACTTGTTCATGACAAAAATTATCAAAAATCAAATGAGGAATTTCCTCAAACTGACAATAAATATCTACAAAAATCCTATTGTTAATATGATTACCTGATGGTGGAAGATGAACTGCTTCACTCTGAAGATTGGGAACAAGGCAAGGCTGGCTGCTCACACCATTAATAAACACAGTACTAAAAGTCAGCCAGAGCAACAAGGCAAGAAAACAAGAGGACATTCATTGGAAAGAATGAAATAAAACTGTCACTACTTGCAAATGACATGATGGTCTATATAGAAAGTCCCAAAGAGTCTACAAAACAACAAAACAAAAAAACCACTAACTCCCTTCCCAGAACTAACAAGTGAGTTCAACAAGGTGACAGAATATAAGATTTAACAAAACATGCACATGCCTTGAATGCTAACTATCAATGATAGAAGTCAAAGAAGGTCCAAAAAAATTTGGAAGCACACTATGTTAATGGGTTGGAAAACATGATAAAGTTATCAACCTCTGCAAGTTGATATATAGGTTTACTGTAATTCCTATAAAATTCCAGAAGGATTTTATTTCAGATACAGACAAGCTTACTCAACAATTTATAGGGAGTAGAACTAAAGTGACAATTTTGAAAAAGAAGAATAAAGCAAGAATTCCTCTACCTGATGCCAAGGCTTACTGTGTAACTATCATTATCAAAATAGTATTATTAAAATGACATTATTGGTGGAATACATATATAAATGTATATAAAAGAACAATAACAAGTTCTTATACACACAAACAACCAATTTCTGAGAAAGGAGCATAAGTAATTCACTAGAATAAGGACAGTCTACTAAATCATGCTGGAACAACTGTGTAACCATAGGAAAATGAAATAAAATCTCAATCTACACCTCACGTCTTACTTAAAAATAACTCAAAAAGGATCCCAGACTAAAATGTAACCCATAAAACTAAAAAGGTCCTTATGTAAATAAGACAAGAAAATCTTCAGGACCTAGGGTTTGGTGAAAAGCCCTTCACACAAATTCATGGTCCATAAAAGTAAAAAAGATAGACTGCATTTCATCAAAATTAAAATTTTTTGCTGTATGAACTCTTATTAAAAGTATTACAAGACAAGCTACAAACTAGGAAGAAATATTTACAAACCAGGTATATGACAAAAGACTATTATCTAGAATAAAGAACTTCTAACACTAAATTTTTAAAAATCAGATTAGAAAACAGACAAAAGACCTGAATAGATATTTTACCAGAGAAGGTACATAAATTGCAAATAAGTACATGAAGAGATGTTCAATATCATTAATCGTAAGAGAAATGCAAATCAAGACTGCAATGAAATATTTCCACACATCCGTGAGAACAGCTAGAATAAAGAATGGTAACAACAACTTCTGGCAGGGATGCCAAGAAACTGGATCTCTCATGGCTACTACTGGGATTAAAATGGGACACCCACTCTAGAAAACTAAACATACATTTACTGTCCGGCCTAGCAGATGTAAAAATGTATTCACAGTAGCTTTATACTACTTAGCTGTCCTTCAGGGGTGAATGGTCAAATCTAATACATCCATATTGTGGACTTAGCAATAAAAAGGAACAAATACTTGATAGACACAACTACCTACATGGATCTCCAGGGCATTATGTTGAGTAAGGGAAAAAGCCAATCTCAAAACATTATATATTAAATTATTCCACTTCTATAAAGTTCTGGAAATAACAAAATTATAGTAATAGAAAACAAATGGAGATTTCCAGGTGTTAGGGAGTAAGGAGGTGGATGTGATATAGATCTAGTAACATTTTCATGCTTTGAATCGTAGCCATAACGGTGCTTAGGAAAATCTATGTGTAATAAAATGGTACAGAACTATGCAAATGCATTGAGTTCATGTTGGCACCTATACTATAGCTGTGTAAGATGGAATCATCAGGAAAAACTAGGCAAAATATACATGGAACCTCTTGGTTCCATCTTTCAACTTCCTGTGAATCTGTGACTACTTCAAAACCAAGTTTTTCTAAAATTATGCTGAAGAAAACTTTTATCCCGATACCTTTTTTTTTTAGCTCAAGACCTTGTGCTTGCCAGGCAAGTTCTTGTGTAGCTGAGCTATATCCCTGGCTATCCCCTGAAATCTTCTGGCTCACATGTGAAAGAAACTTGAAAGAGAGGTTTTCCCAAATTTGACAATTCCCATAATGTTTATGATATTACCAATGAAGAATAGTGAAGCTGAATAAATCTTTTCTGAAATATCAATTCAGTATTGGCAAATTTTGATGGCCTATGTTAAAGAAAACACTGATTTATCTTTTTATTCTCTCTGTACATAGTATCACAAAATGATTACATGAAAGGGGAATCAAAAACCAGGCAGATTTTTAAAAGTACGAAAAAGTATTACAGATTGAGTTCCATTATCTGAAATGCTTGGGACCAGAAGTGTTTCAGATTTTGGAGGAGTTTTTTTGGAATACTTACATAGATTTTACCAGTTGAATATCCTTAATCTGAAAACTGGAATGTCTTAAAATTTGAAACTTTTTTTTTGAGCGTCATAATGCTCAAAATGTTTTCAATTTTAGACTATTTTAAATTTTGGATTTTTGGATTAGAGATGCACAGCCTGTATAGGTAGCTAATAAATAATTTTTGCATGATTATTTTATATTTTATGATATTTGTTTTATGAGGTTTTGAAAACTTTGAAACGTATCACAACTTCTCATTTTGTTTAAAACATTACATATATGTATTTTTCAGCAAATACTTGATCTTATACCACCTGAATTTGTATAAGCAATTTAATGTAGTTCTCCAAATTGTACAAAAGTGTCAGGTACCACAAAATTAGAAGCTGGTACTATATGCAGGTTTTATAGTAGACTGCAAAAGAACTTCAGACTTCACAGTTGCATAAAACCTTTGTACCATCATCGTATAACTGTGAAACTAAAGGTAAGCTACCTAACCCTTTAAGTTTTGGTTTCCTCATCCATAAAATGTTCATAAAACCAGGATAACAGTATATATGCATGAATATGTAATTGGTTGTCCTTTATATGAAATCGATTGGTATTGAAATAGACTCTATGAACATATGTTTAATCATATCCAGATTACTTATGATAACTAACACAAAGCAAATGCTACATAAATACAGTAGTATTGTCTAAGAAATAATGACAAGAAAAAAGTCTGCATGTTCAGTATAGATGCAATTTACTTTTAAAAATATTTTCAATCTGTGGTTGACCACATCTGCAGATGTAGAAACCACAGATAGACTGGCTATACTCAGAAAGCACTTAGAACATAATACCTAGCACACAGTAAGGAGTTACAACGTGACCCCTAGAGCAGTCACTGTTGGCAACAGTCATCATAAATTTCTCCTTCCTATCAGCTCCCAGCCTAGTTTGGGCATCTTTGTTCATATGTGCCTCAGGGAAAGCTGCATGTGGTGTCAGTTCTTGGTAGGTCTGTTTTAATGGCCTGCTTTTTGAAAAAGGTCATGAAGAGTACCAATATGTCAACTCTCTATTTTCAGTGGAAAATTATTTGGCCCTAGATATGTTTGGAGGGGACTGGAAGACAGAAAATGATTTATTAAATAGCATAAAAAATGAGTACGATTTAATCAGGCTCTGAGCATCCAGGGTACTTACATGACTAGACTAATAAGAATCAGAAGTAATCTCAAAGGTCACAGAATGTAGATTCTCAACTGTGTGCAGGACCAACCAACTTTCTTTTCCTAATCCTGATATACAGAACAAAGATGGTGCAATCTTATGTCTCCAGTTTAAAGTCATGAAACTATAAATTCTTTTCTTCAGGTATATATTCCCATGGACAGATTATTTTCTTTAATCCAACCCTTGAGGTTCATGCCAGAAAGTTGAAATGCTAATCATCCCAAATGTCATGACATTAAAGTCACCCTTAGTACAACTGCATTCCTTACAGGCAGTATAGCACAGCAGTCAAGTGTATAGACTCTGTGGCAAGAAGGTCTGGGTTCAAATCCTAGCTTATCCAGTTAGAGCTGTTGCTTTGTGTCTCCGTTTACCCAACACTAAAACAAAAATAATAGGATTCTCTGTCGTATAAGAATGTTACATGAAGTATCTTAATATATACATAGCATCTCAAACATTCCTGCAACACAAATGTGTGTGATAATTATGAATGTCACCAATAAGCCCCCATTTGGAGATGCACGCTGAGACATGCTAGTCCAGAAATGGTGCAGTTGGCAGTGGTCAAGCCTGGTAATCCCTGCCTAGCACCAATTCAAAAGTTTCAGGGAGAAAAGACTAGTTTATCAAATATTACTTTTCTCTACAACTTCAAGGTCAACTGGGAGATCCCTGTTCATCTTCTCATGCATTTTAAAATCTAGAGAAGGGAATACAACTACTGTATAAACCAGCCGAAAAAGAAAATACATTGCCACCTTGTGGCTTTTCAGAGAATGATTCCTTACACCTTTGCACTACCTGAGTGTCCTGGTCCTGATTACTTTCAGGGTTACCCTCTGCAGTCTTAGGCTGTGGCAGGTGGCCAGTGCACCTCTAGAAATGCAGAATGTAACACTTGGAGATACAGGGCCCTAGAGGCAACCTGGAAGAGCACCTTCATTTACCACTGAGGAAAACTGAGTTGAAAGACATGAGGGGCTCGTCTTAAACCAGTGCCAGTGTTGGGCTATAGGTCTCTGGAACTCCTTTTGAACGTTGGGGCTAGAGTTCACAAACACTGTTTGGAAGTCAAATTTTCTTTTAAAAAATCAAACTCACATCAGTGCCTTTCTGTCCTGACACTGCTGCAAAACCACATGCAGAAGTTATGAGGCTGCAACAGATGCGGGTTACACAGGAAATATCACTACTCTGTGCACTCAAGTGAGTAGAGGCACAGTACACAATTTCATGATAAAACAAAATTCTAATTTTTCCTTTTTATTTCTGAATGTTGAGCTTATTCTTCAGGTCCTAGATTTCACTACGTAGGAACATAAAATACTAGACATTGCTAGCAGCTACAAGTTTCTTCTGTCTCCTGCAGCTTTAAGACTTTTTGGAGTTCTTGCCCTAATGTCACTGCTCTAGCAAGATCCAAGGGTTTCTAGATCTTTGTGTGCTTATATCGATAAAGATTTTAATGAGGATATATTTTTCTCCAGGAAAATCAGAATACACTAACTTTTAAAAGAATTTAATCTGCCCCTTCCTCCCACAAAAAACAAGAGACTTTGAAAACCTTCCATCAACTAAACAGTAGCATATCCTTTACGGCACACTGAACATTCTCAGGAATGCTCATAGTTGACATCTGTAGACACAAAACTGGCCTTGGTTCCAAACTGACCTTATGTTAAGCCATGACAGCATGGGCGTCGTGCCTCCACCAATGATCCAGACAGTGAAGAAGACGATGAGAAGGGTGGTTGTGAACATCATCTGCCGAGCATAGGATGCTGTGTCCCGGATGGCCAATGCAAATGCCATCGCCCCCCGGAGGCCTGCAGGGACCCAAAGAGAAGATCTACTGGTGATAACTGATAATGGTTCCTCAAAATCCCTGCTGTCAATTGGGGCTGGCTAACAAACTCTAGCAATCTGTGCTTTGGGAGCCTAGTAGTTTTACTTAGAAAGAATTCTAAATACAGTTTTCCCCTTTTTGAAGCTGTCTTTAGCAAAGTTCCCAGACATAATTAGAAGTACACTGCACTGCTTTGTATAACATATTTTAGAATACTAACACTCTTAGTAAATGATTCACCTGCTAGTAACTTCAAGTAAAAGAAACACAAATAAGCAATAATAACATAAAATCTCTCTAAGTCTGTGATCCAACTCTATACAAATACTACACAGTTAAAATAAGCTTAAACAGGCTAGGTATGAATGTATCAAGCACACATCTAAAGAAAAAAAGTAGCATTTTCTTAGCAAAGGGAGAAGCCACCCAGAGAAATATGGGGAAAAATGGCCTAACCTACCTCGGAAGTTGGCAGCTATTGAAAAAATTTTTTATTAGTACATATTTTTGATACATAATAAACATATTAACTGTCTCGTATTGCTACATATACATGCATCACCTGCCATCTCTAAAGAGCCAGATACTAAACATTTTAGATTTTTTTTGAGACATGGTCTCCCTATATACTCCAAGTTGGCCTTAAACTTACTACGTAGCCCAGGCTGGCTTCATAGAAATCCTCCTGCCTCAGCCTTCCAAGTGCTAGGATTATAGGCATGTACCACCACACCCAGTTTAAATATTTTAGGTTTTGTGAGCCAAGAAGCATAATTAAGGATGTTGTATAAGTACTTATGTAAAAGACCAAAGATAGACTTCCACATTGGGAAAAATCAAGTATAACAGTAACTGAGTACACTTTGTTGCAATACAGTTCTACTAATGTAAGAATGAAATTCTCTGGAGGAGGGGACATTTTGCTTAGTTGAGTTTCAAAGTTTATGTTTCTTATCATCAAACAGATTGTACATACTCATCTGTAAAAAGGGCATATAAATACAAGCAGTAACCAGTTAGCCCAGAAGCTGTGGTTTGCTGATCCTTGATCTACATTAATGGGTTTTAGATTAACACCAACATTTTAATGTTTCAGAGTGTATCTTTCTAAACTCTTTTGCTCCTTCCCCATACCATGTTCATAATTTGTTTTGCAGTAAAGATGGAAGCCAGTCTTCAGTACATAGTTAGTACTGCATATGAGTTATGATCACAATGTACAGAGAATGCTTAAACTTTAAAAATTGATTATAGTAATAGATACATTGCTATTAACCCCCCCTCAAAATATTACCCTTAGCTTCAAACACATTTATAACATCAGTCCTGGCATTTTCTGAAGCAGTTCTGAAAGTCCCCTCTTACGTCTTTATGAGATGTGATTAAAAATTCAGTGAATGGAGCCAGACAAGGTGACACTTGCCTGTAATCCCAACACTTGGGAGGCTGAGGCAGGAAGGTCATTGTAAATTCAAAACCAGCCTGGACTACAAAATGAGCTCAAGGCCAGGCTGAACTATATAGTGCGACCCTACCTCAAAAAGACAAAAAAAAAAAAAAAAAAAAACCCTCAATGAATGCTGCTGTCAAGTATCATCCAACATAAAGGCAGGCTTGTAAAAATATTACAGTACGTCCTTATCTACCTCATTAATCAGATCTGGCACCATGCAACTTCTGGCTCTTCTCCAAGGTGAAAATGATCATGAACAGTAAATGTGTTGAGCAGATTAAGGACACTGAGGTAGCCATGATAGTGCAACTCAAGACACTCAGGAAAGAGGACTTCCAGAACTGCTTCAGAAAGTGGCAAGAAAAACGGGCTAAGTGTGGTCAAAGCAAGGGGAGGTGATTAATGATAATGTGTCCTTTATTGCAGTAATTTCTTAAAAATTAAGCATTCATCACATTTTTCAATCACCCTGCATAAATTCTTATTTCACCATGGGGAAGAATGTGTATACATTATATGAGACAATACAAAGTTAGACTACTGTATCTGTCTACATATAGTCTTCTCCTTTTTAACTTCACAATTATTAGTACAATCTGCAAGCTTCACTACACTTCACTAAAAAAGTTTTAGTCAATAAAAGTTAACATTAAAAGCAGAGCAAAGTAAATGCATTCTATTAACCTGTCCTACTGAAATATTTATATCTAAGTGACTCCAATGAGGTCACTTAGTCAATATTTAAGCTCCTACCGGGATACTGTCTCAAAGAAGAAAATTAGAGAACTGGGTTCAGAGAGAGACAATGTATATGCTTCTTTATCTTATTATGTAAACACTATAAGCAATGTGAGAGTAGAACCATAGGTATTTCAAAGTCTTAATGAATGAGTTCTTTTGAAGCAGATTTATCCCAGAATAAAATAATATTTGTTTTTTATTTGTCTTTAAGCATCATAGTGTACTCTCAGCCTTTTGGTAAGGACGATAATGAAAATACACAGTGTGATTGAAATATGTAGTGAATGTACAAATTTTAAAGGTTATTATAGTAAAAAAACACTGCCATTAATTTCCCTCAAATTATTCCCCCTCACTTCAAACAGATATCCTGTCATCCTTGTCACTTCCTGAAGCAGTTCTGGAAGTTCTCTTCCATGTCTTTAATAAGGTGTGATTAAAACTGTTGCAAATGCTAATGCCAAGTGCAATCCAACAGAAAAATGGTCACATAAACACATTATAGTGAGTTCTCATCCTTTATATTCACTAGATATGGCACTGTGCAACTTCTGATTCTTTGCCAAAGTCAAAGTGACCATAAAAGACTAGTGACTCATATACAGACTAGGTTCAGGACACTGAGGTAGCCACGAAAGTACAATTAAAGACAATCATTAAGAGGACTTCTGAACTGCTTCAGAAAGTGGAAAGAAAATGGGATAAGTTTATTTGAAGTGAGAGGGAGTATTTTGAGTGGGATTAATGGCAATGCGTCTTTTACTACAATTAAAAATTAATTGGTATTTTTATCATTAATCATATTTGAAGTTTACATAGATGACAGTCATCTCTAAGTTATCTTCAATGTATCTACCACCATTTTCATAATATTTGAGCAGGAGCTTGTCATTGCCTTTCCTCACCAAACTCTCAATGTCACCCAGCTGCCACTGAGTAAAACTCAAGCTTTTTGACACAGCTTTGGAGCTTCTCTGTAGTCTCTACTCCGTAGCAGTGGTTTTCAAAGTGTTGAAACACTTTCAAAGTGTTTAAAACAGCAGCAGCAGCTGAGAGTATACTAGAAATGTAAATTCTTGTGGTTCACCCCCAGAATTAGACACTCTGGTGGCAAAGCCAGCAACTGGTGCTTTAACAAGCCTAACAGGAGACTGTGATGCAACTCAAAGGCTGCAAATCTCTAGCTTAGACAGTTTTCTTTTCCAGTCTCATCGTCCTTCTTTATTGCTCTATATGTCAGACACTTCGACCAGACTGCTATCTTTCTTTAAAAAAAAAATACTAGGGCAATGCTTGTCTCTTCTTTTCCACACTGGTTCCTCTTGAAGTGCCATCTCTTTTAAGACCATTTTGAAGGCTACCTCCTTTGTAAAGAGATCCTTGAGCCCTCTCTTCTTGTCCACATGTCTTTCATACCTCTTTGTGCAATTCACAATCCTCTCCCAGCAGTCTGTGAGCTCCTGGAAGGAGGCTGATCTTTGCTTCCTGACAACCCACAATTGTACCTTATAAAAAACAGGATGTCAACAACTGTTTGGCACAGTGAAAATAATCACGGCAGGCTGCAGAGCATGTTCACATGGAAGTCAGCACAAGACAGAGTGTGTGCTTTATAGAGCAGTGTCTGTTGGTGTGATTTCAGCATGACTCTGTCAGGTCCCCAGAAACCACTGCATGGAGTAAAGTCAGCTGCTACTTGTTCTACAGTTTGGTATAGTATACGTCTCCCATCCCCACAGAACAGAGATATTTTTAAGGGTCACAGTGGCCCTTTGCCCCCAATGTCTTCTCCCTCTACTCTGCAAAAATGCTTTAATCTGAGTCTCATGTCTATAAAAGCTAATGTTTACCACCATCACCACATCATCTTCTCGTGTCAATCACTTTTCCCTTCATTACCTCAACATCTTTCTTTACTGTCCTTTGTTGCCTCAGTGGCTTCACCAGGCCTCACAGCTTTACAGCGAACAGGAAGGCGTGTAGGTGACAGTGTAAATCAAGCAGAACTCTCATAGCTGTTAAATTCTAGCTTTGGGTTTATCTTGTTTTGTGAGTGTACTTCACTCCTTTTGCTCCACAGAAAGTGGTACTTCACCTAGTTCAATTTCATTATTTTATAAGAGAAGCTACTCTAGCTGGCAGGTGTTGAGTGACATGGCTCATGTTCTTTCTCATTACTAGCTATCTTCTAATTTTAGGTCTGGAACCCTTTTGAAGCTTAAGGGTTATAAATATCTACTAGAAAACAATCAAGCATTTTAAACAGTTATAGTCCCTTGGGTAGTAGAGATGAAATAGATATGCAGTATTTTAGGGGAGAATGTCCACATCTGTTTAGTTTGGTTTGCAAATCAACACTAGAGTTAACATGTGCATCTGTCTACAAAAGAACTCAGAAAATTAAATGTTTTTTGTGTACTTTATCAATTATATTTTCATCATACTATTATTGCTTGCCAAATAAAACTTATATTCTCTACACTTATAATTTTTTACCTGAAAACATCATCATGTGTTGAAAATTCCAGCCAATCTTGTGCCTTCTGCCCAAGTTGAGGAAGAAGGAGAGCGGGTAGATATGTGCAGCTCTGCCCAGGAAAATGGCAACCTGGTGACCAAGCAGAGGTTAAGGGCCAATAGTTTTCCAGTGTAGCCCTTCTGCACAAATTCTAGTTGAGCAGAGAATTTTAGGGATGCCATGATCTGGACAGCTTTCCAAAGAAACCAGGCTGTCTAATTTCCCAGTCTAAATCAATTTCTCAGCAACAAACTTATAGCCAACTCTCCCCACTTCCTGGTTCAAAAAGATAATTTCTAATTTGTTAAACATATTGTTGTAATTTTCTGACTTAATCTGTAATAATCAACTCCTAAATCTATCTAAAAATGAGTTAAGAAATGAACTAAAGTACGGCAGAAGTGGGGAGCTGAGAGAAGCAAACAGTATGTTGGGCTCTCCTGGAAGAAAAATCACGAGACAAAAATTTCTGACCTTGGAGATAAACTATAAAGTTGGCCGGGTAAGACCATGCAAGCTTCACTTGCAACCAAACATGGGATTCCAATGCTCAGGAAGAGCCTAAAAATAAGATGGGGGAAATGTGCAGTATTTGTCTCACAAAAGACCTACAACACACGGTGATTGCTTTACCTAAATGGCTGAAATGTTTTTTGGAGATATAAAGGATGGAAGAATGTGGAAATGGAACTCTACTGTGAAAAGTAAAGAATTCAGGGAAATTGGTCATCTGTCACTTGCCAAATTTACATTGTGCCCAGCAGAGAGCTAACCACTTCCCTGATCAGAGAAGGAAACCCCCGTGGGAGCCAGAGGAACAAGGAGCTTCCGTTTTGGCAAAACACCAGCTGCAGGAGCCACAGCTGTTTTGTAAAAAGGGGCACATGGGGGGGGCTGTGTGAATATCTTCTGCTTCCTCCAGGGTAAAGCATTCACTGTTTTGCTTCTTATTTATTTCTTTCTTTCCTTTTTCTTTGGCTTGTTTTTAACCAAATGGAAACATGTACTGATTATCAAGTACATTTTATCCCAGAAGTAAAGAAAAAGTCCTTAAGTGGCCAGCGGCCTTTAGGATTCCTAAGAGGATCCAGCTCACCCTTTGACAGGCCATCATCTGCAAACAGGGGCTGTGCACTCAATATCTCTCACAGGATTCCATGCTGGGAATACAAACCAGGACAATGTGCTAGATCTTTGTGGATAAAAAAGAAAATCACAAACTGCAGATTTTGAGCTATTAGTCTAGTGAGTATGTGAGCTATCAGTTGATGCATATGACACTAAACTAGAAGGATTCCAGTGCCATCACTATCTAGCAGCTTGGGAAATGTCAGTTATTCTTGAACAAGAAACAAAAAGCCCAGAAGTAAAAAAAAAAAAAAAAAAAAAACTCCGTTTTTTTGTCAATATTAAAAGGGCTAAAGGACTCTCATGAGGCCTCAGAAAAAAGGAAAGCAAATATTAAACAACAGGGGACTTCTGATCAGGATCTTAATCACAGGCCCACAAAAGTACACTCAATGAAAACAACAGTATCTGCCGCAAGATGAGTGAAACCCTCAGCTAAGATCCATTGCTAGCATTCACATCCCTCCTCCTCCAAGACAAGTCACTCCCCACAAGTCATGTCTCCCTTCTAAAAACTGCATTTAAAAAGGGATCAAGGCAAGAAATCAAGTAGTTTTCCATTTTTTCTTTTGTTCTGTTTCCTCCGTTCCTTTAAACAAAACAAAAGAATCTTTCCCACAGTGATCCACAGCAGCAGGACAGTTCAGGTGAAAGCATGGTCACTGCCTGTGGACACCCCCTGGGTAGCAGGAGGAAGGGCTTCCCATGTTGAGTATGCAAGTGGAAGCAAGAAGAATGGAACCTTCTAGTTGCCTAAATCAAAGAACCTCCTGGATCAGAATTTACATGGCAATGAAATGTCAAAATAAACCTGAGAATGGACATGATTGCCAATTGCTTATCCAGAAGGAACTCTACAAAACAAACAATCACCTCTGAAACACCAGCTTAAAAGAAAAGCCAATTTACACAGAATGTGCAGGCAGGATAACCTGAGAATAAATATCAGTCCTTTAAATCACATACATCTGGTTTTGTGAAATACCACTTAAATCTTTTTTTTTCTCCTTATAAAAATACCATGAGCCAGCATGGCCTAGTCACCCATGCAAAACAGAAATAACAATAAAACTTTAGAGCTTCCCTAGCAGTGGTTACCTCCCCGTGTAGAAAATGGCAGAATGAAAAAAAGGATACAAAAGCACCAATGATGAAAATGGGGCTGAAAACGTGCTTCTGGAAGGTAAACAGCGCCAGGCCCATGTAGGAGAAGATGAAATTCTCTGCCAGGAAGTGCAACACCTCAAACAGCTGCATAGAGAAGAGAAAAAGCCATAAACCCTGAACTCCTGCTCCTTGCACAGTACTGCCAGGTGATGCATCAGTACAAAGCCCATTCTCACCTGTTTGGTGCGACTTCTTGATTCTACTGACAGATTGTTGTAGGTATAATGAGCTTGTGTGATTCCACAGAAAAGGACAGCTACGACACCTGTCAAGAGATTTTTTAAAAATCAGTGGAAAAAAAGAAGCAAGAAAACACCCTGGTCAAACAAAAAGTTAAGCTGTAGCCAATCTGCTGAGCTTTGAGTTTCCTATTACTGAAAGCTCCCTCTGCCCTTCACCACACCTCTCAGCCTTCCCTCCTCAAATCTTGCCTTTCCTGCTTCTAGGTCAGATTCCCCAACTTCCCTTCTTACAGGACCATTAAGAGTGTTCATTCTCTTCTTGTAAATTTCTCCCAAATCTGCCATCTGTAGTTGGCATATAGCATTCATACCCTCAAAAAGAGTGTGAGAGCCCAATGTACATTTTGGTCATATCCTTGTTTTTACAATGAATAGACTTTTAACTTCAAATCAATGCCTTGTATTTTTGCATAAACTCAGGCTTCAGGCAAAATAGATACAGAGTACTATCTCATTTATCTAAGGCCTAATAATCTGGAATTCTAGTTAAAGACCACCATTTTGTCATGCAAGGCAAATGAGACACCAGGAAGTATACATTCAGAGAGAACTGTCAAGTTTTAAGGAAGTGGTATACTTTTTCATTCTACATTCTACATGTTGCAGCGTTTTGATACAACTACTTTCTAAGTACCTAAATTTTTGTGTGGCAATTAAGTTTTCTAATGGAAAAATCTGTGAATATTTTATTTTCAACTTTTAAAAATTAATTTATTAATTTGCATTTATTCATTTATTTTTGCAGTACTGAAGATTGAACCCAGGGTCTTTGCACTGAACTATACCCCTAGTCCTTTCTTATTTTGGATAGGGTCTGATAAATTGCTGAGTTGCCCAGGCAGGGCTTGAAGTTGCAGTTCTCCTGCCTTAACCTCACAGAGTTCAGAGATTATGAGAATATGCCACCAGAGTCAGCTTCAGTGATTTTTTAAAATGAGAGGATGGGAAAAAAATGGAATCACATGATTAATCACACTAATATTATAGGCTGAGCACCCCTAATTTGAAATTCTAAACTGTTCTAAAATCTATAACTTTTTGAACACTGACATTGTGACATTTGAGAGACACATTTGAGATTAGTAAAGCACACTTCTGGGTGTGTCTGGGTAAGTCGTGGAGGTGTGACCTTAGAGACTACATCTGGCCTCTGGCCCTTTCCTCTTTGGCTCTTTCCCATATTCTGCTTCTCAGATGCCAGGAGTTGAGTAGCTCTCCTGGGCCACACCCTTCCACCATGATGCTTCTGCCTTGGACTAAATCAACAATAGACTTAAGCATGAGCCAAAATATACCTCTCCTAAGCACCTGCCTTGCAAGCAGGCAGTCGTGAGTTCGATCCCTGGTACCGATAAAAATGAAAAAGACAAAAAAATATATACATATACCTCTCCTTCAAATTGCACCTGTCAGGTATTTTGTCTCAGTAACTGGAATGCAGGCCAAGACAGAAAGAATGCCACAAATGGAAAATCTCACACCTAACTTCATGTGATTCATCGTACTCAAAGCACAAGTACAAAACACAAAGTTTGTTCAGTGTCCTTAGGAGGGAAAATCTCTTTCAAACCCTTTAGCTATAATACACAATTTCTTTGCATATAAAATTATTAAAAATAATACATAAAATTATCTTCAGGTTCTATGTATAATATATATTGTAAAACAAATGAAACATGCATCCCCAGATACTTCATTGTAAAACAAATGAAACATGCATCCCCCAGATACTTCAACATGTATATATAAATATTAAAAAGTTTTAAAAATCTGAAATACAAAGTACTTTTGGTTCCAAGCATTTTGGGATGCTGAATTTGTACATGAAACTGACACAATAAAAACATACATGGTATTGAAAACCAACAATCATCCCAGAGACAAAACAATGAAAAATTGTGTTCACCTTTCTCTGAGTTTATGCAAAATTTCTTTGAGAAGGATACATATTTGCTAGTAAGAATTATTGTTTGTAAAATCACATAGCAATCCAGGGAAGAATACAAATCAGATTTGAGCATATTCAAAGCCTTTGCAGAAAAACATCTACCTTATAGTTAGAATGAGTATAAATAATAAACTTTATCCTTAAAAAGTATGTCATTTTTGGAAACAGTGTTTAAGGCAAAACACTAGCCTTGTTCAGCAGTCTTACATATGGATACTAAGTGAGCAGTAATTAAGTTTATGAAGCTGCTATCTAAAAATTCCTCAAGTACCCACATCTCCCACTACCATGAGGGAACAAGTAAACCAAGAGTATAGAAAACCCACCTGTAAATCCGCAGGCTTCTGCCAAGAGAAATGTACTCCAGGACATCAGGAAGAAGAGTGCAGTCTCTAGCAGGGGGAAGCAGTGCAACTTGGTAAACTTGGTCACGTTGGCATCCTGTCAAGGACTTCAGTTGGTTGTTTTAAACTAAACATTGTGCCATCCTTACTTATGGAAGGAAGGCTTCTGTGCAGCTGCAACCTCGGGCTAAAGGACTTCCTAGCCAGTGGTGCCTGCTGGTCAGCCTCCTTAGGACTCCTCGGCTCTTTTCATTACCCCTAAAATTAATGTTCCAATTGGTTTGGGAGAAGGGGAGAAAAAGCAAAGGACAGGACAAAGTAGAGTCTAGAATTGCATTCCAAATCTTCTTAGACTCCTTAGCAAGAGACCCAACCAACATGTATCACCAAAGGGACACATTTCAGGAATCTCCACATTCCAGTGAAACAACCAATTTAAGATTCTGATCTGAAAGGAAGATCTGAGAACATTCTCCTGGAAATTATAATGTTACCTATCCATACCCAGGCAGGGATAGAAACTACAAAAAGGATATCAGAGCAGTCACAACACCAGTCACAGCTCCCATGGTAAAAGAGCCACTAAATATACCTAGAAAAATGCCAACTGACTTAAAAAAGGCAGCAGCATCAAAAGCATGCGTGTTCAACCCTGCTGGTTGGTAGGCAACAATAGACCTGAAATTTAAAAAAAAAGAGTTACAAAAAACTATCCTGGTTTTATGCGGACGTACAGTACTTCCCCCTCACCCACAATTTTACTTTCCATTGTTTCAGTTGAAGTCAACCACAGTCTGAAAATACCAAATGAAAAATTCCAGAAATAAAAAATTTCTAAGATTTAAATTGTGTATCATTATGAGTAGCATGACAAAATACCACACCATCCAACTCTCTCACGCTTAGGATGAAGAGCATTGCTTTGTCCAGTGTATCCAGACTGTGGACTCTACTCACCTATTAGTCTCTGCTTGTGTTCAAGCAACCCAGAGAGCAGGAGTAGTGATTCTGGCAATTCACATACGCCAGAAAGAAGCCACAAAGTGCTTCATTTATGTGAAAAGGTGAAAGGTGCAATTTCAGGTGTATTTTTAAACAGACTTCATATTCATATAACTTTTATTACTGTGTATTTTATTATTAGTTTTTTATTATTAGTTATTATTATTAATCTTTTTCTCTGCCTAATTTATAAAGTAGGCTTTATCATACATATGTACATATAGGAAAAACATATAGTATGCATAGAGTTCAGTACTATATGTAGGCATCCACTCGTGGTCTCGAAACATATCCCTAGAAGATAAGGTGGGCCTCCTGTAACTGAAAATACCAACAAACATAGATATCGATACTCTGCCAACCAGTGCATAGGACAAAGTCATTTATTTTAATCTGCAGTCATTGTGTTATGCTGTGTTATGCTGGCATCAGGATTCTGATTCCTGCTGAGTAGACAAAGCAGCACAACTACATAAAAAAACTGATAAATCTTATTTAGAAAAATATGCAATTCAATATTTAATGCTTTTAAGATATGCCTCTGAATTTGGCCCCTAGAACGCAAGAAATCAAGATATCTTTTCTCCAGAAGACACATCACTACTTACGAGGACAGCACAATGGCAACAGCATCATTGAGGACGCTCTCTCCAAACAGAAGGGCGTAAAGATCCACATCTGCGTGCAGTTCATTAAATATCGCCAGCACAGTCACTGAAATGTCAACCCAAAGCACAAAAGTTATTTCTGGTTTCTGCCCTTAAGCCACTAATTATGGATTTATAGAGGTAATTCTTACCTTATGTGGAATTGGGCAGTTCAGAGAGTCAAAGATGGACTGTTTGTCTTTGACAGAAAGGGAAATAGCAATCTTCCCAATATGAGGGAGATTTGATGTGACTTTTGAGACTCATCACCCTGTATCCAAACACTGTGTCTTCCACTATAATACCACTACACTATGAAAATACCTGGTAGGGAACTTTTTAAAAAATCACCATTACTATTGTTTGGCTTTTCTGGTGGGGTGCTTACCACCATACTCCCACAACCCAGCAAGAGATCTGTGCAAAAGGAAGACTGTCATAAAGATTTTTTTAAATAATGAAAGTCTTTACTTTCCACTATTTTTATATTTCTTGAACAGTTAGCAATCAGCATTTCTTTAGATCAGTGGTTCTCAAAACTTTTGGCCTCAGAATTCCTTTACATCCTTAAAAATTATTGTTTCCCTCAAAGAGCCTGTCTTGAGGGTCATAGCTACTGATATCTACTGAAAAAGTAAATATTTATTTAAAATTTATACCCATTGTGTATTAACACGAAATGTTTTTAAAGATTGTATTTTCTAAAACAAAAAATTACATTTACATTACAGAGAGCCAACTGTTCACATTTTTACAAATCTCTTAAACATCTGGATTAACAGAAGGCAGATGATTCTCATATCTGTTTCTGTACCTGAGTAACAGATAGGTATTATCAGATAGGTATTGAAAATGCCACAGTATGCTGTGAGAGACGAGTAAGGAAGACAAACACTATGTTGCTGCTATTAATAAATCACTTTGCAACTGATGGACTCCACAGAAGTTTTAGGTCCTCTTATAGACAGTGTCATCTCTTGCTGGTGGAAGAGTGCAAAGGGGCTAGATAAATGTAGCCATCTTGCCTCCATGGGGCAACTGACATACCACCAAAACTCAAAGATGGTGTGGAATTATGATCCAGTGCCCAGATCCCTGATTGGACCAGAATTCATAGCAGCAGCCCGTAGCCCAAGATAGAGACCAGTTTTTACTAGCTGTTATCAGTCATGTTTTTCTGTTACCTGTAACTAAAAGCACTACTAACTGATATAATTAAAAAGCCAACCCAAAGAAATGCCTCATTTAGGGAGTTATAAGTCAGCAGTCTTGTCACTACCATATAGTTCAAAAAAGCAGAATTTGCCAGCCCTATTTGAAAGCTTCCCATTCCTTTCTTTGCTCAAAAGGAGCAACTGCGAAAAATTCTTTTTGAAACAAGTTCAGGCTGGCCTTGAATGCACTGTGTAGCCCAGACTGGCCTCAAACTCATAGCAATTCTTTTGCCTCAGCCTCCTGAGCGCTGGGATGACAGGTATGTGCCACAACACCTGCTTACAGGAATTGTATAGAAATCATTTTCTTGCATTTCCTTATATTTTAATTGTCCCAAGGCACATTCCCTGACACTACTGTTTAATTTTGCTCACTTAAAAAAGAAAGTATTGGCCATTTGCAGACTGCAGGGAAGGAGAATAAGAAGTCACCAAGAAGAAAGCTCACCCTGTTTATCAGCAGCATGCACAGGACGCTGGGGCAACAGCCAGACCCCAGCTCCTTCTGGTGTATGGACTGGGAAACAAGAAGCAACACACACCACCCACCACCCCACCCTCATAAGCAACTGGCTGATCTGCAGAAACACAGTCTGCAATGATAGCTACTGAGGTGAAATGCAATTAGATGCCTGTGGTGTTTGGTATTTCACTGACTGAAGGTGTAGGGCCAGTGGTTTGATCATCTATTCAGACGATAATGATACACAGTGTGCCATCTAGGGGGGCCCTCCTTGGGGGGGGGGTTAACCATTGTTAATTCTCTATTGTCTTGTTTTAAAGTCCTATATCATTTTCATTGTTTTGTTGGGTTGGGTTTTATTCTGTTTATCTTTGTTTGATTTTGTTATATGCAATGGCATGAGCAACTATTTTAAAGATAGCAAGATATATTATGGTAGCCATTTTGGATTTACTATTGTCTTGTTTTGAAGTCCTTTATTGAATTCACTGTTTTGCTTTTTTGGGGTTTTATTCTGTTCTGTTCTGTTTGATTTTTACTATGTCTGAGGGTATCTGCAGCCATTCTGAAGACAACAAGAGGCATTATGGTAACCATTGTTGATTTCCCATTGTTTTGAAGTCCTCTGTCACATTAGTTTGTTTTGATTGGCTTTATTCTGTCATATTCTGCTTGGTTTTATTGTCTTTAAAATAAAAAAGAATTCTCTATTGTTTTGTTCACATGCTCCTAAATTTTGTTAAATTTATAACCCTGATGCATGGAGCTGTTTCATAACTTCTGTCATTTTCTTTATTTAGCTTCATTTGGAATATGAATGAAGTTTCATCCTTTGAGGAGTTCTATTTTTCTGGTATGACTTCATTAGCGTTAGCTTTAGCTTTTGTTTGTTTGTTTATTTGTTTTTTGTATCAGGGATTGAACTCATGACCTTGTACTTGCCAGGCAGGCGCTTATGCTGCTGAGCTAAATCCCGAGTCTGCAGCTTTATTATTAATGGGATTACCCTAATTTTTTCCTTATGTTTCCTTGAAGTTCAACCTCAATCCATTTGTGCTGCTCATATTTAATTCAGGTGAATAAGGAGTAAATATGGACCCAGAAAGGCTTTTCTAGTTTCATAGCTCTACTGTGCCCTCTTCTGGTTTTATATGGAAATATTACAAATACGGTAGCTATTTCTCCAATACTTTTTGAGTTCCACAGCTTCTGACCCCCTCCTCCATTGGTATCTAAAGTGTCTTGGTCCCAATCAGGGTTTGCTGTCCTTCCAGGGAGATCTTCATTGGATATTTCTGAGAGCTCCAAGGATCCAGATCACTGTTGTTGCCTTTAACCTCTCAAGTATTCTTGGAGTCATCCACAAATTTAAGCCTTAAAAGCCCCTGTTAATTTTAACTATTACCACACAGGTCCAGAAAGTTCTTTACTCTAAGAAGGAATGCCTCCTTAAAGTATAAATATTGGTAGGAATTTTCAGGGTTCTCTGAAAGTCAGTGATCAACAGTTTCCTTTGCCCCTTGCAGCCACTATTCCTGTAGCCATTGTCTCATGGTGTTATCTTCTAGTTTTATCTCTGCCAGTTTCTTTTGCAGTTCTTCTTTCTCTATTTTTGCTATAGATTAAAGAAAACTTCATAATAACAATTCCCCTAACAACTCTTCTTTTTCCAGAAGTTTAATTCATTTATTGAAAATGAGCAAAAAGTAATTTGGACTTCAAAAGGGCAAGCAGAAGCATGACCATAAGCAATAGTTCTTAAAGGACATGTTTTTGTAACACAAGTATTATCACAAGATTCAAAGTCAACCTCTTTCCTTTACCCTGAAGTATAATATAGCAGGTTACACAACAGGAAAAATCTTCAGGGGTGAGACTTTTAAACATTTTTTTCTCAACTATTTACTACATAAAAATATTTGTGGCTCCTCATGTAAACTCTATTAGTTTATCATTGTATGACATAAAATGTGTCTTCTTGCACTCCGGGCAGCACATATACTAAAATTATGTCTTCTTTTTATTTTGTGTTGGGATTTTCTTGTGGTACTAGGATTGAACTCAGGGCTTTACATATGCTAGGCAAGTGCTTTACTACTGTGCTATCTCTCTCCAGCCCTTTTTATACTTTAAGACAAACTCTCACTAAGTTGTCCAGGCTGGCGCAAATTTGCAATACTCCTACCTTCAGCCTTCTGAGTAGGTTTAATTTCAGGCATGCACCCCCTAGCCCAGGAGAACTGTCTTGTTTTTAACTTAATTGCTGAAGAAAAATTACAAATGTTAATAACAAAAACTACTGGGGATTTGCCATGAAGCAGTCACTATGACAAGCATTTAACAATCTCATTTAGTCATCACAGAACTCTGTAAAGCTAGTACTTTCATTTCCCTCAATTTAGGAATGAGATAACAGGCTACTCTATGCTACGGTGCTAAAATTCCCAAAATCTCAGTGACTGAACACAAGAAATGTGTTCGTCACTCATATCACATGTCCAACATGAGTCATCACAGGTCTCTGTCCACATCAGGCACTCAGAGACCCAAGACTAATGGGGGTTAGTCTCAAGGAACACAATCCAGCTTGCCTATCCAGAAGATGTGATCCTAGGACTCTAGGATGTTAGGTCTCTACCAATAAGGGTAGATTCTGGCAGGAAACAGCACCCTCCAACATAAAAATTGGAGGAGAGTTTTATAAATAAGTTATTTTATAAAAATGTTGGCAAGGAACAAGGAAACTCAAAGGGAGAAGACAATATATGAAGCTGGAGACAGGGAGCTTCGGTATCATCCCTAGGCCTGAGGGTTCCAGGGGAAGGAGTGGTTACCAGAACCTGGACTTGTAGGCCGAGGGTCATCTGACAGGAGTTGTGAACTTTGATAAAGGGACCTGCTTAACCTGCATGGCTCCTGCATCTCTGTCCTCCTCCCAGTACCACTCTTCTATGGATACCTCCAGTGGGAAGTCACAAGACAAAACAATCTTTAGCATATTCCATACAAGTCAGCCTCCTGAGGCCAAGAGATGGTAGAGAAGTGTGGTTAGTAAATCTGGAGAGGCAAACAGAAGCCATCCAACAGAGCCATGAACTGGCTAGGACAACTCGGCACACAACAAAATTCAAATGTGGTAAACTGAAGGATTGGGCTACATCTTTTCCAAAAGCCCTTTGACTTTAAACATGGTTTGTCTAAAATACTACCGTTATCAATAGTAAAAACAGTGCATAATCAACTCTTTGATCCATGACAATAAAGCACAGCATGCATAATAACAACAGATATTCACATAGAACTGGTCTGAATTTTAACTTCTCATTTTCCCTACATGACTACATAAAGTGGATTAGAAACTCTGTAATGACTTTGCTAAGCAAGTCTTTT